AAGAAGATATAGCGTACTATCGTGCGCTCTGGTTAGATTTTTTTTTAAATTTAACATAAAAAAAACAACCAAAGTCAAATCAATATCAAAATATATAATTTTCACAAGGAGTAGGTGTTACAACGGATATTTTATTTGAAATTTTTTTATTATAAATGTACGCTTAATTCTTTAAGTACCTAGCAAATGCGATCTACTAATTATATCCGGGTCATGTTTATATTTAATAACTATATTGATACAATGAAAAGAATTATCAAAATTAATATCAAGTAAATTCGTAATAAAACAAATTTTAATGTGTATTTATTTGCAATATTATAATTTAGACTATTAACAAAAAGACATTGCTGTCGTCCATCCCTGGTGGGGATCGAACCCACGACCTTTGGATTAGAAGTCCAACGCGCTATCCTCTGCGCCACAGGGACTGCGTGAGAGATTGCGAAATTACGCATCACTTACTGTTGGTCATATCGCGCACTCACACATCTGAATACTAGAATCTACAATAATAGAAGCACATAATTTTACGTAACAATAACATTATCGTCACTCTCAGTCATTTTATTCGTAATTTTACGTGTCTATGGTCATGTGAGTTTTTAAATCGCAATTCGAATTATGTTTGCCATTCTAAGTTTCATTAAAAAAATTAAACTGGGCTCACCTCTATTGCCGAAGTAACAAAATATTTTATAGACTTTTTTTTTATTTTTTATCTTTAATTAGTATAAAACAACAATGGCTATCAGTGTTTATTTCTTTTTTTACAAGCAACGGAATTTTGTACGTTAAACTGTCATTTAGATATTTTATTATAGGTTTTTTGTAATTGATGAGAATGGAATTGTAACCTCGCCTGCGCTAATGGTATACGCTAGCAGGGCACCAAAGAGGGATACTGAGAAGACAGGTCAGTTAGCCTGTCGAGATTAATTCACTTGAAATAGTACACTGTAGTTTCTAGGGGAAACCGCGAAAAGGTCGACCTGACAGGGTGTATTGCTAGCAATGGAACTAATCCCCATTATTAACAATCCCTTCTCCCCCCTATTACAGAAGGTTTGTGTAAAGCCAAATTAAATATAAAATAGGTATTCACAAACATAAGATTTTATTATACAGTATTATATTATATATATACAAAAGTGAAAATTAATTGTATATATTTATTATCTATCTTTGAGATATACCAGTGAGGGATAATAGGTGAGGATGAAGCATGTCAGTTAGCCCACCGTGACGCATCTAACGATAAATCAATCACGACGGTTTCAATGGAGGAGGACCTGACCTTGCTAGCCATGGGGCTACTAGTCCCCATTACTAACAATCCCTTCTCCCCCAGCAGGGGACAGTTGACAGCTGATATAATAATAATATAATAAACATCTGAGTTGAGATTCTTTTTTTTTTAAATAACTATATGAGGGGGGAAAGGGATTGTTAGTAATGGAGACTGAGAATCCCATTGTGTGAGTGGGTGAAGGGATATGGCGTGAATTTACAGGGTACAGAGGAATAACACCTGAGTCCTCAGGAATGGCAACGCATGGGGGGTATCATGGGCGAAACAGTATACTCTGTTATGTCCATGGTACTGCTCATGTCTATAGGCGACAGTTACCACTTTCCATTAGGTGGACCGTCAGCTTGTTTGCCATTCTTAGTCGTATAATATAAAATAAATAATATAAATATGTACCGATAATTATCTCCTATAGATTACTGTCAGTACCTCGTAAATTCCAATGATTGTTAAATTTAACGGTTTGTCTTTAACGGCTGAGTCAACATTGTGACCCACTACTAAGTTTACCTCTTCGTTTTGTTTTATTTGTACTAAGGCCAAAATATTTCTCAATAAATAGTTCTCTCAGTCAGCAGAAAAAAAACCTTACACATTATTGCATACGTAAGTATATACATATACTAACTATATAGCATAGGGGGGAAAGGGATTGTTAGTAATGAAGACTGAGAATCCCATTGCTAGCAATATACCCAACAAGGTAGACCTCCTCGCGGTTCTCCCTGGAAACTATCGTGGTTAATTCCTGATGAATTCATCATGATGGGCTAACTGGCCTGTTTTCATTTTCGTCTATCACCCTTCACTGGTGCTCCGCCAGCGTATCCCGTTAGCGCAGGCGGGGTTACCATACCATTTTCATCCATCAAAAAAAAACTATATAGCATAGTATAGGAACTGGAGTTTTTTTTTTATAATAGAACTTATTTATTTTTTTATTCTTTCTTACACAATATACCATAACATAACCATTAGACAAAAACAAAATGTGTTCGCGGGCAATGATGGCGAATATGCATTACATAAAAAAAAATTATTGTTGTCAAATTATTTTAATAGATTTAAAATAATTTGACAACAATAAATATCATACCGTATTATTCTTTTTTTTTACAACTTATAATGGCAAACAAGCTGACGGCCCACCTGATGGAAAGTGGTAACCGTCGCCTATAGACATGAGCAGTACCATGGACATAACAGAGTATACTGTTTTGCCCATGATACCCCCCATGCGTTGCCATTCCTGAGGACTGAGGTGTTATTCCTCTGTACCCAGTAAATTCACGCCATTTTTGTTTTTTACAACACTGGGGGCATATGAGCATGCGGCTCACCTGATGGTAAGTGACTACCGCCGCTCATGGTCACCCACAACACCTACGGCATTGCAGGTGTGCTGCCAGTCTTTTAAAAAGGAATATGCTCTTTTTTTGAAGGTTGTTCACGCCATATCCCACCCTTCAAACTGAAACACAGCCATGCAAACACATCTGCTTCACGGTTGAAACACGAATGAAACAGAGGTACCCAAGCAAACGACTTTTGTACAAAGTCTCCCTCTGTATTTTATTAATACAGTAAAACTGTAATACTTAATAATAGTAATATTATAATAATAATAATATTAAATAAAAAATGAAATACATTCAACTAAGACCTATATATAATATAACACTGTCATACATATGTGTATACAGTATTACGATAGTGTAAAAATCCCGCAAGGCAATTATCATCTTCGCAACTTCAAAATCGTGTTAACAAAAAACTCGTGTGGTTTTCGCAACAAATTTGATGTAAAGCGATGTGGTTTACACTCGTTACATTTAGTAAAATGAAAGAGACTTTTACTTTTTTTCTATTATTTTTTCGATTAGGGTTCCGTACTTCCAAAGGAAAAAATGGAACCCTTATATCACTTCGTCCGTCCGTCCGTCTGTCAAGACCCTTTTTCTCAGGAGCGTGGGAGTGAAGGTAACAAGTTTAAATTAATATCATATATTCAGGTCTACAAACTTTTAAAGCAGTAAAAAAATCTAATTTCTCAATCGATGCAATCAAAAGATACGGCCGTTTATGTTGTATTGACATTCGCAAAGGGAATCAAAACCTATAGAGTACTTTCTGTTAACCTAGAATCATGAAATTTGGCAAGAAGCAATGCCATGTAGCACAAGTAAAGGAAAAATGTGAATGTCGTATAAATTGTAGTACAAATATAAATTGTAGTACAAATATAAATTGTTGTACAAATATACATTTTGTAAACTTGATGATTTTGTACGGAACCCTCGTTGCGCAAGTCTGACTCGAACTTGACCAGCTTTTTATACACCAGTAAGAATATTGATATGCGCAATTTGTATTAAGACACTTTAAACACTTCTCTTGGGCAATGCTATGTAAAAATTATTAAAAAAATTAATATTTCTCAACCAAAAAAAAAATTACGATTATCTTCCACAAAAAACCGACTTCAATTGTGGCAACACCAGTTATTTTTATATCAAAATTAAGATATTCAACCGATTTTGATAAAATATCTATGGGACCAATATGTAAGTATATACTTACAGATAAAAAATGGAATTTTCCAAATCGGTTTACAACTGACGGAGCTATGAAGTAACGAACATAAAAAAAAACAACCGAGAACCCCCTTCTTTTTGAAGTCCCTTGATAAATACTTAACGACAACAAATAGAGAAATTTTACGTCGCTTCTTTATTCTTCAAACATGAATTAATTCATATTAATTTATATGAATGAAGTAGTTGATCATTGTAGTGGTAAACGTTATTTCGCCCCTTATCGGGTCCATTTTTCTCGAAATAAAAAATGTTATCTCACAATTCTCAATTTAAAGTATATTCATTTATTCTTTAAAATTCATTCTTTAATTTCATCTATCCAAAAGTTGTTTGGAAGAGATTCCTTAGTTATAAGACTGCCTTTTGTATTACACTATGCTTATTGAAAATCGTTCAACAATTCCTGTACTATTGATGCAACAAAGTGTTACATTAATAAAATAAATAACTAATATACATTTAAAAATCTACCTTAAAAAATCATTAAAATTGATCAGTTTCGAAGATTGGTGTGAACGAACACCGCGACTGGTATTTTACAATCAATTTGTTCAAAATTCTACAACTACTAAACTGACTCCTGCCAATTTTTAATCATTTTTAGGCAACTAGCAATTTTATAAAATTTAATTCCAAAAAGAGCACACTTTAAATTTTTTAAAGAATTCCAATCTCGTCACCCGAATAAGGAAGTTAATTGAACGGAAGTGGAAATAAATAGATCGTTATTTTAATTAAAATAAAAACTGAAAAGAATTTTAAACGAAGACGCATTAATAAATGATGGCCAGTATTATTTACATCGATTATCTACTTAAATATACGTATAAAACAAAATTAAATACATAATTGTTATACCTAATGTTAAAATATTTCCCAAATAAATACTTAAGGATTCGTATTAATTAATACTATGACTCTAGACAGTTTTCAATATTATATAAAATACATTAGGTACTTAAGTTCATTTTTTACATACTAATCGCAAAAATCATGCGCAATTACTATTATGTCAAATCAACATCAAAACAAAACTGTTTACAAATCAAAACACCTAATACTCGTAACACAATATCTACTGACGGACTTACCATAATTTTATGACAACACATAAAAAATTATCACTTCACTACAATCTATTTTGTTTCTTTTTTCTGAATTTTCACAAGTTTCTTATTGGATGTTTATTTGATTACAATCACGTCACCATAGCAACGACAATATGGTCGCAAATCACGCATGCGCACAGCCAACGGGCGCGTTCGTACTGACGGTGTGTCGGTTTTGGCGCCAACGCTCTGCTTGTAAAATAAAACAATTGCGCGCATCAGGCTGCGCTCCTTCCGAGGTTGCCCCGGAAAAGAATTTCTCGTTTTTATAAAGTAATAGACACGGCTATAGGCGTTAAATACAAGTGAACATTTTTACTTTTTGAAAGTTGTAACCTTTCTTATTGTACTGTATTGATTAACCGAGATTAAAGTCCTTATACGCAAAAAGTCAAAGAGTTTCAAAGAGGAGTCAGTGTAGATACTCAATTTGACGATGATAAATGGTTAAATAAGACGCCAAACGGTAACAAGCAAACTCTCTTCTAAATTGTTGAAACATTAACAATGTAAAACATTTTACAATACTCATACCTCATACATAAAGTGATTTGTATTGTGTAGGGTTTACTGATGTAGTACACGTCAAATCTACAATATCGGAAAGTGTGGTAATGTTTCACTGCTTCATCAAGATTATAATACTTTCAATGCACTAAATTGGGTCAAAATATTTTTTTTAAATTAAAACTAAATAATTCAATCCATAGAATCAATTAGAATAGGAATTTTGTTGCTTGTAAATAATATTTCGAGCTCTATTATTGTAGTAAACCGGATTGTATTTCGGCCCGGGTCGTGGGTGTTCACTGTGACCAAGCGATACGGATTTAACAGGATATTTGAAACTTTATACCTCGCCCAAATGTAATTCTACCTTCCTTTAAATTGTTTGTGGTCGGTTTGGAATACAGGTCTATACTCGTACATCAACGTAAAATATATTGTGTGGACAAAACATGAAGTCAAATAGCACAAATGTTTCTGTCATAGTTTTTGTCATCGTCACCAATTTGATCATACACTAGCACAAGAAACGAAAGAAGAAAAAATAATCTAATCAATTCACCACCTTACGTATACTTCCTTATTTCTTCATAGTACATAAGACACCCAAAAAGTGATATCCCAAGAACTTTTTTTTTAAATTATATGTTATGAAAAATATTATATAAGCAGTCACCCTACTACAGCATAGACGACTCATAGACTATCCAGACAGACGACATGGTAATATTTATAGTATCTTAGCTGGATTATGTATTCGTTACCGGTATAAACATTAACTAAATAATTTACACCCTTGTCGATACATATTAATAGGTCGTTAATTACTTAATTCGAGTATGGTATACAACAATATGTAATTTTAACAGTAAATGTTTTCAGCAACAAATTATGGTTGATTATATAATACATGTTACTATGTCTTTTCTGTACTATAGCATGGCGTGGAGATATAGATTCTTACACAGAACACAACGAAGACCCTGGAGGCGTTTGCGATGTGAATATATTGTCGCTTTTTGTAAATCTTATAACGTGACCAAGTCAGAAATATTAGAGTGTCATTTAGCGTACGAAAATGTCCTTATTTCGACCATGTCATGATTAATGAAAAATACAGAAATCTGCAATTAATCACCTAAGACAGTATTACTGGTAAAAGAAGTGCCTGGAGAAGGCAGCATAAAAAGTTTTAACCTCCATACCGTACCAATAATAGCCGTTAAGTTAGTATGGGAGTTGCCGTGTAGTCCCGGCATAGAATACGCCACCTTTTTCTCTCACGTGGGTGTTGTAAAAGGCAACTAAGATAACTTAATGATCAAGGGATAGGAAACAGCGTCCCTCTTTAAATATCATCAAAACCTAACTGCTATTGCCAACTCAACTACGAAACGTAGCAATTAGAGGCAAAATCCCCTAATAGCGGGAGGCCTATGTTCAGCAATGGACAGTTATATATGTAATATTAGTGATATGATAGTATGGGAGACTCAAATTATCACTTTTCATGTTTCTTTTGGAAAAACATGTTCAGTTTCATATGTTAATTTTTTTTTTATACAACTTAGAGTGACAAACAAGCTGACGGCCCACCTGATGGAAAGTGATAACCGTCGCCTATAGACATGAGCAGTACCATGGACATTACAGAGTATACTGTTCCGCCCATGATACCCCCCATGCGTTGTCATTTCTGAGGACTCAAGTGTTATTCCTCTGTACCCAGTAAATTCACGCCATATCCCACCCTTCAAACCGAAACACAGCCATGCAAACAAAACTGCTTCACGGTTGAAACACGAATGGGACAGAGGTACCCAAGCAATCGACTGTTGTACAAAGTCTCCCTCTGGTAATAACTAATAAAGTGTAAAATGTAAAGATTGTGGAAATGAATTCATTATTATGAAAGCAGTTTCTCCAAACAGAAGCATTTTTTGCCAAAGGAGATACCAAACATTGTAATATAACTTACTTTTGTTTGAAGAAACTAATTATTACTAATTATCGTGGGTGTATTTAAAGAGAGAAGGGGAACGTGCCCACCCTAGAACTGTCTGATGCCCTTAGTATGCAAACGGAGCTTTCAGATATCCGCAAAAACATGTCGGATATGTGAGAAGAGCAAATTATATTTGCCCTTTTAAAGAGGCCAGAACCTGTGATAATAACATATTTCGATTTCATAATACTTTTTAATTCTTAAAGGCTTTTAGCTTTTTCAATTATACCAGCCCTATCGCAACCCTGTACTGATTTCTCAGATAAGATTTTGTCGACTGTCCCTACTCACAGAAAGAGAGGAATTAATGGGCATCTATAGTTTACAGAGATGTTAAAAAAAACCTGATTTGGGTTCAGCTAATATAGATTGGATAAGACCAATATTTAATTTATTTAGGTAAAAATCGCGTATGAATGCTTCTCTTTTCATTGAAATTATACGACACTAACAGTATATGTCATCATCGATGGTATCACGAACTTGACAATGAGGCAACCAAGACTTTTTTTTTATATATTTTTTTTATACAACTAGAATGGCAAACAAGCTGACGGCCCATCTGATGGAAAGTGGTAACCGTCGCCTATAGACATGAGCAGTACCATGGACATAACAGAGTATACTGTTTCGCCCATGATACCCCCCATGCGTTGCCATTCCTGAGGACTCAGATGTTACTCCTCTGTACCCAGTAAATTCACGCCATATCCCACCCTTCAAACCGAAACACAGCCATGCAAACACAACTGCTTCACGATTGAAACACGAATGGGATAGAGGTACCCAAGCAATCGACTTTTGTACAAAGTCTCTCTCTGGTTCATGATAAATGAAAAGTTTTGTGATAATGAAATATCACACATACTTCTTTTTCAAAATCTTTGTGTTATAGTCAACTTGGTAATTTCAAATACCCGACTATTTTTCACGTATAATCTAAAATACAAAAGTAATATGTTTTTTTTTTAAACAAAAAACGTTACGAGTTCACAATTTTACTACTTGACATATTTTATGGCATTCGAATAGCCATAAGTTAAATAATAACAATATTAAGTTTGCATGCGGTGAAATTTGGAACTACGAAATGTTCCTTCAATAAATACGTTACGTACGACTAGTGGCGCCATCTTCATATCAATATTTAACTTTGTTACAGCACTCAAGCCTATTATACAATCTTTTACGCTTACGCCTACGCATTTTAAACCCTTTTCTATGTGTGTGTATCCATTCATAGGGATGTTATGACAATAATTTCATTCATGTTCAAGGTTTATTATTCTCCTGTGAACTAGTTTTTGAATAACTAAACCTTGGAGCATGACATTCTTAAATAAAACAATATATAAATAAAATAGAAAAAAGACGATATTGTGCGTTTTATTTGCGTAATAACTAGCCCTTCCTTGCGACTCCGTCTGTACGAACGGGATGTGTAGTCAACACAAATGGGATGAAAAGTAGACTATGTCCTTCTGTGTTCCATATATTACGTGTATACCAAATTTCACTGTGATGGGGGAAGGGATTGTTGGTAATGTGGACTACCAGTTCGATTGCTAGCAATACACACTGTCAGGTCGACCTCCACGTTGTCCCCCCTGGAAACCATCGTGCTGAATTCCAGGTGTATTTATCACGATGGGCTAACCAACCTGCCTTTTCATTCTCACTTATCTCTGGAACACCAGTGAAGGGTGATAAGTGGTAATAAATGGTAATTCCGCTTGTGCTGACGGTATACGCTGGCGAGGCACCAGCCATTAATGATTGGTGAAAATGAAACGGTAATTCAGTTAGCCTATTGCCCATCCCACTTGAAATTCAGCACAATGGTTTCCAGTGGGGACCACGTAGAGGTTTTTTTTTATAGGTGATAGGAGGTAGCGCCCGCGCTATCGGTATACACCGGCGGGACACCAGTGACGGATGATAGATGAGGATGAAACAGGTCAGTTAGCCCATCGTGACGAATTCAACGTGAATTGTTCACGATGGTTTCCAGGGGGAACCACGTGGAGGTTGACCTGGCATATTGCTAGCAATGGGGATGTCAAACTCCATTGCTAATAATCCTTTCCCCCCACCACGTAGAGGTCTCTGATAATCTAGATCGTAGAGGTCTCTGGTAATCTGATAGAGTATATTGCTAGCAATGAGCCTGATAGTTCGTATTACTAACAATCCCTTCCTCCCCCCCCCCCCCCGTTGTTTATAGGTTTCCAATCTTTAATCCAAACACAACGTGAGATCTATGATTTAATCTCACCTATCCACACTCTTTGGTTAAATACTTAACAGAAGTAACATACAGTTGTATTATTACCATTATAATATCTAAGTACTCCGTGGGAACATTGATATGATGGAAGTGTATCGTTTATCCCTCTCTTACTAATGCATATTTTACAGCGTCGTCTCGCTTCACCAAAATTCGTGACTCCACTATTTTGTCTGGGAAACGTTTCGTGTAATTTTTGTTGTTATTTTCGAATTATACTATAATATATTATGTCATATATGTTATGCTATATTTTTACTGACTTTTCTTTAATATTAATGGTATGTATAAATTTATTTTTGCCTTGTAGCTCCCGGCATAGAATAGGCCACCCTTTTTTTCCCGTGGGTAGGGAGGAATGGGTAGCA